AGTGCATTCTTCTGTTTTCTCCCCACCTCAGACCTTTATTAGTTTTATGATCTTGACCCCACGACTTGATCAGGGAGCTTTTTATACATATATATATATCTATATCGATATATCTATATCTATATCTATATATCTATATATATATATATATATATATATATATATATATATATATATATGTGTGATCATTTTTGTGTCACTTTTAAGTGACATTTACATATGTCAAGATGCACTTTGAAGTTTTATTAAATTTACTTCAGTTCTTGCTTTTTCTGCAGGTCTTGACAACATCCAGAAGATTGCATCTCAGGGCCGATATGAGCTGAGAATTGACATGAAAGATGGGCAGGAATCAGTTTATGCCAATTATGACAAGTTTTCCATTGGAGATGCCAGAAACCTATATAAGCTCAGGATTGGAGAGTACAATGGGACTGCTGGTAGGTACCAAAAGAATAATCAAACAGATATTTAACACTAACAACTAATATATGAGCCATCATTGGTTTGACAGCTAAGACCTACATAGCTTTTTCAGCTTTCCAATCTCTCCAAACTTTAACTTTACTGTTAATATGGCCTTATGTTAAAAAGTATCCGTATCCCTGTAGTATTAATGAGTTAACTTCTATTTTCCAAATTGTACCCATGATACTTTAGAGCTCCTTTCTTCTATAGTCCACATAGCCCTGTTACTTAAAAAAACACAGAACTATGTTATTATTAATTCTCTTTGGTATGTCTTTATTTCCCAGCTTAACTTTATATTTAATGCTCTTTTTCTAAATCCCAGGTGACTCTCTCAGCTACCACCAGGGTCGTCCATTCTCAACTAAGGACAGAGACAACGACATCGCTGTCACTAACTGTGCCTTGTCCTACAAAGGAGCCTGGTGGTACAAGAACTGCCACCGGGCCAACCTCAATGGAAAATACGGAGAATCCAGGCATAGTCAGGTAAATACTTTTACTCACTTTGTTTCCTTTCATTTACAATTTATACATTGATATATAACTGTGATAAGTTGTAAAACTGGCAATTTTACTAGAGTTGTTCTGTTTCAAAGTGGACCTCTTTGCATTTAGTATATGGTTTAGTTTCAACTTTGTATGAGGAAAGAATTTATGAGAATTTATTAGATAAGAAATAAAATTGTATGGACTAAAGTCAAAGAGTTTCAGGAAGTTCTGGAGTACTCCCTTTTGTTCAGCAAATGATTGTGGATGATTTTAGATCATTTAACAGAGCAGGATAAGCACGGGAACAAATTCTGACAAAAAACAACAACTTACCACATAGGTTACCACTATTAGTGGTAACGTAACCTATGAGGTAAATAATTAGTGCTTTAAGTTTGCACTATTGTAGATAAAAAGATATTGATGGTGTGCAAACACATCAAAGGTTTATCCTTTCTATTTTCTGTCCTTTGAATAATCACAAAACAATGTAGCTCACTCAGGACAAATACAAAAACAGAAAAGAGATACTAACTTCCAGACTTTAACCTAATCCACTAACTATCTTTTATATCAAACCATGCTGCAAGTTTTTTGTGGCTATGATCTGAATTCTATCAAAATCTATGCAAAATGAAAATTCCTACTCTGCCTGTCGGGAGTCATTCCTCTATTTTCACTTTACTGCAATATACTGTTTTTCTTTGGTCATGTGTACCAAAAGCCGTCATTCAGATCAATTTGGTTACCTCTGTATAATTTATTAGTATTCTGTCAACAAATATAGCCCACCAACTGTTCCTGAATGGCTAAAAACCACTGAGAAGAGGAATCATGTGACATTTACAAAAAATCATTTGGGAAGTTTCTGGCTCCATACCAGTTTTGCCAACCAGTCCGCCCACCATCTCCACATGTCAAAGTATTCCTGCATATCAATTAATGCATGGATGTATGTTCAAACTAACTAATGTAGCTTTTTGTGCAGAATTGCTCTGCAAAAATAGAGGAGATATTTCTTAGGACCTCCCATATTCTAAAACCTAAAAACCTAGGACAGATTTGCCAAAAGGTGCTTAGCAAAAACACACATAAGAGGTGAACCGAGTCCAGCTTCCCAACTGGTATAAAGCACCAGAGATTTCTGTAGCTTTGCTTGTGGATATGATGTGGTGGCTGACTTTCTTTTTGTTATTTTTGGGTCAATTTGAATCAATCACCAATTAAACTAAATGTCCTCATTTGAAAAGGTTGACATTTTCAAAGTGCATTTTGGCATTTGCGAAAATCGACATGAAAGGAAGCTATTACAGCACACTGATTAAAGGTTAAAACCTCTTGAATTGAAAGACTAATTATTAGTGAATTAAAATACATGAAAGAGGATCCTAAGTGGTCTGCCGGAGGAGTTCAGAAACAACAACTGCTGCAGCTTTTCTTGTTAGATTTGCCAGTTGAAAAATGTGATCCATGGCATAAGCTGTTAAGAGGACGTTGCTGAACACCTCCAAATTCTTTCCAGTAGCTATGACGGAAAGTTTGCACTGACAGAGTTAAGTTTTTATTTTGTTATTTATGTTAGGCTGCTGTTACAATACTGAGGTTACAATACCAACACCGGAAGCAAATCTTTTTTTTTTTTTGTTTTTTTTTTTCAGTAGATAAGAGGTAATAGTATTTGGAACATTTAAGTGATTTTGGTTTTAAACCCTTTCTTGACTAATTTCTGCCCTTTTTTATTTTTTTCTGTTGACATGTTAAAGCACAGACGGCGGATGCAGAGATTAAATGCTAACAGTTAAAAAGAAAATCCTTACAGAACGTCGGTAAATAAGAAGAAACAGATGGAGATGATGATCCAAAGGTCTAGACTGAGGCTATGAATAGAAGGTTATAATGGTGATGCAACTGGTCCTTCAATCTGACACGCTATTTTAACTTGAAATAATTCAGTTATGGCAAAAATCCATCCTATTTATGCAAACGCTTATTTTCCACTAAGAAAATATGTTTTTCCAGCTTTATCTTGTCTGATTTCTCAAGGCAAAATAACACAAATAATTGTGTTCATGCAGCAAGTTTATACTATAATTATGAGAAATCAGCTTCATACTTTAAGCTGGCCTATTAACCCAGAAAAAGAAAGCATTTCGATTTAAAATGCCTTTCATATTAAAAGAGCATTTGAAATGTGTGTCATTGTTGCAGGGAATCAACTGGTACCACTGGAAAGGCCATGAGTTCTCCATTCCTTTTGTGGAGATGAAGATGAGGCCCTTCAACTTCCGTAGCATCAGCAGTAAGAGGAGACGATCCGTCCCTGTATAAGCAGGCTGACTCCACCCTGCGTAGAGTTATGGATAAAAAGGAGTTGGGGTGATATGGGGGGAGGGGGGTTACATCTCTGCTGTATGTGCACCTTTCTGACTGCAAATGCAGGCTTGAATGTGTGTTGGGCTCATTAGTGAGGCTGGGAAGACTGAACACATGAGAAATTAAACAAAGCTACTAATATTTTACCTAGAAAATTTAATAATTTAATACTTTGCAACTTGTGTTAACTGGATGTGGTCAGACAATAGCGGAGAAGTTTTGACACCACATCCGAACCCTGTCGACCTTTTCACCCCTCCAGTATAAGCTGTCTTTTCTGCTGTAATTCTGCCCCGAGACAATGTTGTAATTTGTTAAATCTGTATAATGACAATGGTTGTGACTTCTGTAAAAAAGGGAAGGGAAAACAAGACTTTTTTGGTTTCCCTTAACAAGCGATTTTTCCTTCCTCAAAATGCTAAGTTGTCCTCAGAATTACTTAGGAATAAAAGATAATGCTTCTTAGCAACAACAAACTGATACTTAAATCACCGATGTATTTCTTTGAAACTCGCACCTGTAATATACAGTATATATATACACATATATAAATATATTTTTATAGCTAATTGTAGCTTGGTCCATCTATTTAATATGATTTGATGCCTTGGTTTTCAACACTCGATTAAGATTAAAAAACAATGATAGGCACTGGACTCATCAGAGTCAGGAGAAAAAGAGCAAAACTGAAGATCCACAATGACTATTGAACAAGTAGTTCACCAGCAACATCTCCATTAACTTTATTTAATTTGCGATGTTGACTACTTTAGATAAATTACATAAAGTAGAGTAATATCATCTGCTTTATTTATTTGGTAGCCCCACTGAGAGTTTTTCCGCACTGACAGTGGAAACACAGCCAAGCTGTTGTTCATTCAATTTCATGAACAAATTGAGTTGCTTATTGGTATTTATCATCACTTTGATTTCCCTTTTAAGTAAATGTGTTTAACCTTGCTGCTGATGTTAGGTTTGCTCACAGAGATGGTGCTGAAAGATGCAACAAAGACCTGTGTAATAAAGGTGCTCTGATTGGGAAAAAAAGCTCAGTCAGTTCTGTCACCAACATCTGTCTCATTTGTCCCACATTTTAAGCCTTTTGTAGTCAATGTGATTCGCCAGGGAAAAATGAAATTTACTAAACCCTATTCAGAGCTAAGTCAGTGTGGACAAAGTGCAGATTTAAGTCTGGCTTCCCTCCCGCAGCTGGCTGAAATGAACTCAACAAAGAAAGCAGAACAGAAGGTGGAGGGAAGCCAAGCCTTTCTTCTACTCACTTCACTGTTAAAGCTATTTTGTGAAACAATGGAATCCACTAACACTGCTGAGAGTGTGTTCCTCTAAGTGGGGTTGACGTAATCTGCAGCTTGCCAACCAACCATGTGTTCACATTGTCACAAGAGGCGTTCATGGCCAGTTAAACAACTGCAGGGTTTTTTTGTCTGAATTTAAGACAAACCAAACAAAACTAGAAGACAGAACGAAAATGACACCAGCACTTCAGGCAAGTTTTAGTCTTATTTATAGATAATTAAATATTTGAATTATTCATTTTTTCTTTTATTGTTTTCTTTATTTCAATTAATCCTTTCAGTTAATTCTCAATTTAAAGTAGACCAGATAATCATACTATGTATATTATTTTTTTCTATAGATTGAAAGTAGTTGCCCTTCCCTTTACTGATACCACTCCTACTAATATACTTATGTAGATATGAACTTTGTGTTTCACTTTCTCTCCAAATTAGAGAAAGCCAATGCAGAAAGCCCTCTTGGGAATTTCTGTGGGCTGAATTTTTGTAACCACTGCTGTGCAAAAGGACTGATGGAGCATACTGCATGTTGACTGAAATGCTACCAGGAGCCTGAACGGGAACAACAAAAGTCTTTAGAATATGGTCAGCATGACTTGTGCACATATTCATTTGTTGTTCTGGCTGAAAGCTGCCGCTGATATACTGTAGTTTTAAAAGTTGATTTGAATCACTTTTTTTCTAACTTTAAGCCATTTGATCAAGATCAAATCTTATTGTCAAAGGATTTCAGACTCTCTCATGCAATATACATCCAATAGTTATTTATAGTCTAGTAGATGAACATGTTTCCTAATTTTATTATCTGTACTGTTATATTACCTTTCTTTGAGGTTTTGCATTGATGAAAACTGTTCTGGTGGCTTTTCTGAAAGGAAAATGATTGTTTTTTGTGTTCTAGAAACATCTGTCATGCAAAATGTTAGGTGCTTGTAAATCATTAAAACCAGTTTTGTCATTTTCTTTTATAAATCGGGATAGGTAAATGCTTATTTTTCTCATAAATGTACTTCTACTCAGCTATGAAATTCACACAACTTTCTTGTAACAGCCCATGCAATAAATACAGTATAATATATATGTGATGCCGCTGAGTTTTGGAGACAGTCATTATTTAAGAGAAAAGCATTTGTTAATAATAACTTTAAGGTGTCTCCTGTATTGGAATACTATTGAATGTGTGCTTCTGATTTGCGCCCTAAGCATTCTGAAGTTAATTCTTTGTACAGGGTATTCCAGCAGCTTTGTTTTATGTGTCTAAAACCAATTAAAAGTTTATTTTAAGTTCCTAATGTTGTTAAAGCTGAAAAATCACTCTTATTTTATCTGAGGATAAAATAAGAGTTAACTACACGCTATGATATTCTCTCTTCAAAACTTTAATGGAATTTGAGTTTTTTTTTTAGAGTGTTGACCAATGTCTATTGGGCAACCCTTTTGATAATTTCTTGACTTTTTAGCATTTGGCTATGGCTCATTTTTTGTTGTCCTATGATGTTCTTTACACTCCTGTAAGATTGCATCAGTGTTACTGACACACTGAAGAGTTTAGAAATTCATCTGTTAATCATTAAATCACTCTTTGCAATAATAAGGTTTTTAGTATTTTGAAATATTGTTGGGTTTTTTTCCCCATCACGAGATATTTCTTGCAAAAAAAACATTTTTAGTTAAATCTTTTTTTGTAAGTAGTGTGTGTGTTTGGGGGGGTTGGGGGGGGCATGATGTCAAATACTTACTTAAATAACTCCTTTTTCTAACATATAGGTTACATTTACTCTGTAATTTACGTTTTTAGTTAAAATGTAGTCTATTGATCTTAATTGTTTGGATTTATTTGTATTACTTGGGTTGTTACTAACATGTAGTGTGGATTTCATGTTAATTGTCTGATTAGAAATATATTTACAGAGGAAAATATTGACAGGCTTATTTTATTGGCTGTATATAAATGTGTTCACATTTTTTTCAAATTTAAGTGCTCTTTTGCTTGGCTCTAAAATCTTTTACAGGAGTAATTTTTTCTATACATTTTGTAGGAAATCAAACAGGTTTTATCTTTAAGGTATGCCTGAAATAACACTTCAAAAGAGCCTCAAATATTGCCTTGATTTAATGTAGGAATTAACAATACTCTTATTTTCGCATCATGTAAAGTTTCATCAGTTTGATTCAATATTTAAAAAACATAGAAAAACAATAGCTACAAACAAATGGTATGTCTGGGAAACCAAAAGACATTCACTGTTTAAACATTTGTACAGACCTGATTGCTTAATTGTTCTTCATTTAACACATGTAACTTCAGTCACACTTGCCCATGTATATTACAAAATAAAATAAAAAAATCAACTGGTTTACATTTTCGGTATGCGTTACCAAGAACCTGTGACTTGCTGTGATCTGAAATCTTGACAGCATGAACATGTAAATGTTGATAAAATGGGATACTGACTGTTTAAATTGATTGAATTATTGTTGGATAATCTTGAATATTACTGTTCAATTTAGCTCTAGTTTGACCTAAACATGTACTATAAAGTTCCTTTTTTAAAACATTTTCTACATATTAATAAAATATTCAAATACCCTCATTCAATGACTGTTTTTACTTTGCTTTGCGGCTGTTTATTTCTGATTAGTTTATAGATGATTAGTCAGAAGAAGTTTTAGCATCTATATATTTGCACATGGCAGAAATTTGAGTCTTTGCCTTAGAGTTGGACAAAAGGCTAAATTATAGACTCACAAACAATCGAATTTCATATAACAGGAGTGAATATAAACAGGTAGATCAATTTAATAAACAACTTATGGTGTCACTATTAGGGATGTTTCATGAGCAAGGACCTCCAGAACTGGGAACTTTAACTTTCAGAACACCATGCAAAGACCCTGGGCTGGGTATCTAACTCAGGACCGTCTTGCTGCAAGAAAACGGTGCTACAAACTGTGCCACCGTGCATTCCTTATTTTGTCAATAGGTATGAAATTATGAAATCTTGTAAGGACAAGAATTTTAAAAATAACTTTTATTTTCCATTATATTTTACAAAATTTGTTTAAAAAAATTGAAAAAATATGCCAAATTTTTTGTATATGTTTTTGTTATCACTTTAAGTTAATTTACTGTATTGAATTTTGTTCCCCTTCACAAACTGATGATTTTCTTAATGGATTCCTAGTCTCCTGCGAAATGCCTTGGACAACATGACCCCCTTGAAAAAGAAAAACTTTAAAAATAAAAAGCTAATGCAGATAATAACACTTTGAAGCAAAATTGCTAGGAAATTGGACAGAAAATGGCACTCTACGTGCCCAAAGGAACCCTACCTAGTCTAAAAAAAAAACATTTTACTGCTATATAAAATGACCCTTCGTGAACCAACAACAGCATATTTTTCCTCATTAATAGAGGAGAATAAGAATGATCTTAGATTTATTTTAACACAGTTGCCAAACTCACCCATAGCCATAGCTCTGTTGAACTGTCCATCCCACCTGCTCTTAGCAGTAATGATTTTCTGGGATTCTTTATAAGTAAGAGAGATTCTATAAAAAAAAACTAAGATAATTGGAGCCCTTCTAAATAGGATTTTTTTATCTTTTGAAGGTGAGGCAGCATCTGAGATAGCCATAGAATCTGAATGTTGATCCAGTTGTTCTTTTAGAGTTAGCAAAATTTTGTTTTTATCTAAGCCTTCAACTTGTATGTTAGATCCAGTTCCAACCAGGTTATTTAAGGAAGTATTCTCTCCGATTTCCACCTCCATTTTAGTTGTGTCCCTGTTACAAGGATGTTTACCTTAGGCTTTTAAGATGTAATTAAACCTTTACATAAGAAACCGTCTTTTGACACAGATCACTTGGTCAATTATAGACCTATATCCAATCTTCCTTTCTTATCTAAAATTCTTGAGAGAGTAGTTGACAAACAAGTGTGCGACCACTTACACCATAATGAACTTTTAGAAGAGTTTCAGTCTGGCTTTAGAGCTCATCATAGCACTGAAACGGCTCTGGTGAAAGTCACTAATGATATTCTCATGGCCTTAGATAATGGACTTGTATCTGTACTTATCCTCTTAGATCTCAGTGTTGCATTTGACAGAGTTTTATCGTAATATTCTTTTTATAGGAATTAAAGGAACAGCACTAGGCTGGTTTAAGTCGTATTTCACTGACAGATTTCTGTTTTTTTCATGTTAATAAAAAATCTTCCTCATACTCCAGGGTTACCTGTGGAGTATCACAGGGATCAGTGCTAGGACCAACTTTACTATATATATGCTCCCAATCAGTAGAATTATTAGACAGCATGGAAATAATTTAATCCGTTATGCTGATGAAGATGAAGCTAACCCATTACATAGATTACAGGCATGTCTTGAAGACATAAAAACCTGGATGACTCTTTCTGCTCCTGAATGCAGACAAAACAAAAGATATAGTCTTTGGACCAGAGTCTTTGAAAAAGAAGCTAATTAGTCAGTCACTTCATTTTGATGGATTTAAATTGAACTCATATAGTAAAGTAAAAAAAAAAAAGTTGTTTTTTTAATTATTATTTATTATTTAAATTCCCTATCAAAGAGATTTCTAGAATTTCCTTCTTTCATCTGCGCAAAATTGCAAAAATTATAAATATTTATATAGAATAAATAAAACTCGACACATGTTCAATTTCTTCTCATTAAATTGAATGCAAAAGAAGCTTTCAACAAGCCATTATGTCTTGCAAAGGTAAGTTGGTATATAGGGCTACAAATGAATAAGATTAAAATATGTATTTTTGGTGGGTTTTGTGTTTGCAGAAGGTTAACAATTTGTTGCTTTCTAATGCTAATGAGTGCATCTATCCTCCTTTGCATTGTTTTTCCTTTGCATGTGTTTTTTGTGCTAGTGTGTTAACTTAGTTTTTTTTTTTTTTGTCAGTCCCTTCTTTATGTTTGCATGACTTTTTGAGTTTTCTTTGACATCATTTATTTGCATGGTGTTTGCACCCTTCTGTAACCTTAACATTCATCTCCAAAGAGTCCTTTTATAAAATGTAGGTTATTAAATTGGATTGGTTATTATTATTGTATTGTATTATTGTATGTCTGCTTCTGTCTCCTTGAACCCCAGCCTCAGCAGATGGTTGTTCACACTGAGCCTCGTTCTGCTGGAGGTTTCTTCCTGTTATAGGGGCATTTTCCTCTCCATCGTTGCTACAGTACAGTACATGCATGCTTGGTGTGAGGAATTGCCTGCGAGTCAATGAGTCGAAGCAATCAACTGGTTTTACTTAGATAAATAAAACTTTAAACCAATCTGGTTGTATGATCTGGATCATGCTGTATGATCTAAATATGCTGGTGCCTGATATGTTATGAATTGGCGCTTTAGAAATAAACTTAATTCAAATGAATTGAAATCTCAATTTTTCTTTTTCCTTCTCTGTTGTACATCTTACTATTCTCTCAGACTTGATCATATTAAGGCATTTGAAAGACTGATTTTTCTAAACCTGAAGAATGTCCATTATTAGTCAAATAATGAAAATTCAAGAAGTTGGCTAATGTTTTCTTGGGTTTTAAAATCATGCATATATTTTAATAAACACATGCAATACTCACAGCTACATATTTTTCTTCTTCTTACAGTAGTAGACTCTCAAAAACCTTTAAATCAGCGAATTTAGATGCATTGTCTATTCATGTTATGTTCCAGTTATCCACTAATTATTCATTCTGAGTGGTCAGCAAAAAAGACTTTGTAAATAACTACATGCTTTGTGAAGTTTGGGAATTAATTACTCTAAAACAAAGGAACCAGCAACACAGCAGTTGTTCTGCAAAGCACAGGTCTAAGGGATTATCTGATTTAAGAAAATGTTTTACAAGCCCAACTACTTAAGTAACTACCGTAAGTAGTATTTGTCACTCTGCTTTTTATTTATATCCTACTTTGACCAAAAAAAAACCTACATCTTGCAGGAAAAAAAAAACACCCTCCAT